CTGAGATTGAAGGCTGAAGAATCCCATTGAAAATGGAAATTCAATCAGAAGAGTCCAGTGGGATTCAAAGATTGAATTCCCGTCCAAGGAGGAATTGGGATTGATCAGGAACTCCTGATCAATCCCTATAAAAGGGACTCTGGAACAGAATGCAAAACACAAAGAAAACAGTAAGCAAAGCTACTGATTTAAGAGAAAAGGAGGCGTATAGGAAGCTAGGAAAAGTTTAGGAGTGTTCTGGGAGTGAGAAAAAATTTTTAGAGATTTTTTGGCGAAAATTTTTTCTGGAAATTTCTGGGAAATTTCCAGAATCCGACTAAAATTCCGGCGAAATTTGAATTTTCCGGCAACAATTCCGGCGAACATTGAAGTTTCCGGCGACCAGTCCAGTTTCCGGCGAAGAATCCCAGAAACCGGCGATCTTCCGGCGAAATTTCCAGATTCCGGCGAAAATTTCCAGAATCTGGCTCCGGTGTTCTTCAGTTTCTAGAGAGAAGGGAGAGAAAAAGGAAGAAGAGAGAGAGAGGGGGAGGAGCGTTCTGCCGAAAAATGGAGGAATGTGCCTTTTATACCCTCCCAAAACGACGTCGTTTTGGCCTTAAGTAACCCAGAGGATCCGCGCGTTTTGCCGAACCCGACCCGACCCGGGCGTCGACCCGCTTTCTGACCCGCGCGTGCCAGCCCCCCTCCGAGCCGAGCCGATCCAAGCCGTCAAGCCGCTCCCCCGAGCCGTTTTCTCTTCCTTGAGCCGAGCCGAGCCGAGCCGCGATCCGAGCCGCTCCAGGTTTTTTTTTTTTTTTTTCTTTGAATTTTTTTTTCTTTCTTTGTTTATTTGTTTATTTTATTTTTTATTTATTAGATTAGGTTTATGTAATATTCTTTTTATTTATTATTTTATTTTCTTTAAATAAAAATAAAAAATTCCAAAAAAATATATTTTTAGGGAAAAGTTGAAAGTATCAATTTTCCTTAGAAATAAATTTTCAAAAAATATTTTTGGGGAAAAGTTGAAAGTATCAATTTTCCTCAGAAATAAATTTCAAAAAAAATATTTTTAGGGAAAAGTTGAAAGTATCAATTTTCCTTAGAAATAAATTTTCAAAAAAAGGGTTTTTGAGGAAAAGTTGAAAGTATCAATTTTCCTTGAAAATCAAAATTTTTAAAAAATATTTTTGGGGAAAAGTTGAAAGTATCAATTTTCCCTAAAAAAAATCATTCTTTCCTTCCTTTCTATCTTAATTTTGATTTTGTTTTTTTCTTTAAATAATCCGACGACGGAGCCTCTGTAAGTGAAACAATAGTTTTTCTTGCATACTCTTGAGGTGAGGGAATTTTCTCAATTTTCTGCTAAAAGTATTAGAGTCAATTGAAAATAATTTTCAACAATTAATTACTTGGTAAAATTTTAAGGCTTTTTGGATAACACAAATTTAAGCTGGTACCATCTTTTGATGGGCGTTGTGAGGGTGCCATAACCTTCCTCACACGTAATCGAACTCCCGAACTCTGTTCTGGTTTGTAGACCTGAACCTATTCTTCTAGGGACCCTTAAACTTAGGTGTTCCCTAAAAGGACTGATTCTATAGGTGGCCAATCGCACCTAGATAAAAAAGATTGGTGGCGACTCCCTAAAAGTCAATGTCTAGCGATAGATCCCCGGATCTAGACGTTATGACACATAGCATCAGATTTTCAAGCCACTTTTAAATTTAAGTACCATTTTTTCTCTTGTTTTCTCTTTTTCTGTCATATATGTTTTGTTAAATGCCCTCACTTCTCTTTGTGCCAAAAATCGGTTTGGAAAAAAAAGAAACCCATGACCTCTGACACAAACGCATTTCTACAGGAGCTTTTGACAAGGCATAAATCCACTGTGACTGAATTCCGTTCTGCAAATTATGACTGGGTAAAGTGTTGAATTCACTATCTACATACATTATGTGTTTTACCAAACTATTTCCATGTAATATCGTAGTGACTAATTTAAGTATAAGAACATGTAATCCACAGGTATGAATTTATGATTCATGTGATTGTTTAGCTTGGATAGCTATAGTCAGAATATATATACCTGAGGATTAATCTGAATCATATATCCAGGAAATATCAATTTTTACTCGAGAACAAGTGTACGTAAGAGACTAGGGTAGTTTCCTACGATATAATATCAGGTTATTCTAATTTGGGTTTGTACAGTTTTTCCAGGAATGCAATTCCCAACTGCTGCAATCTGAAAGCTACATCACCAGACGACATGCTGTCAAGGTACAGTAGATTCATGTTGGTCATCTAACTTGTTTTCAAATAAAGTCAATTAATTACCACCTTCATCATTGTTTTTGATTGCTCTCAATGTCAAATGATTTCTATTTCTACCAGCTATGCTAATGACTTTTTTTGGCAGCTCCTCGAAGATATGTTGCTAGATCGCTGAAATTCTGCTGTGATGGTTCGGTATGTGACCTCATTAGATCACACGAGGATCATGATGAATCTTCTAAGGCTACTCTTACACCTTCCTTGACAGCATTTTGTGTACATAGAAAAGCTTCTGCATATTACATATATATATATATATATATTTCACTCCGATCATTTTGGCTCACCAATCTGCAGGATTCAAACAAGACAATAAAATTAGATGCTTTCCATGTGTTCAAGGCGAATGATGATGAATCTGCCACTTATATTTGTGATTGCAGATTTTGACTTTTGTTGTTTTACTTCATCTTTTTCATTTCTCCATTTGTTGTTGTTAATAGCTGTTTGTTGCAAATCAAAATAAACCTCCTGAGATCATCAGTATCCTTGTCACAAATAGGAGCATGTTTATGCGGTTCTTTGGAGAATTCAACATCGATAGAGGTAGAAAAAGAAATCTGTTCTAAAATTACTCTTTGAACTATATGTTGTGAATTAATGTCAAATTCTGCTATGCTGCAAAGGATGAACAGTTTGAAGCAGACAAATCCCAAATCATCCAACAGATTGCTACTCTCCAACCCACAGATTGGTCATCCCAAGATTTAGATAATTGTGATGTTCCATGTTAAATTTTCATGCACAAATTTTTTAGCTAAATTATTGTACTTTCCCTAAATGCATGTTTATACTTCATATTTTGTACTGTGCATTAAAATTTTCATCTTTAGGATGTTGAAAATATTTTATGGTTTTCCATATGTAACTCGCTTTTTTTATGATTTCTTTCTATTCACTTTTCACAGTAGAATTTTAGAAGAAGAGAGAATCACTTCTTATCAAATTAGTCGTTCATGCACACGGATGATTTAACATCTAAAGTATATTATATAAATAATTATTACATTAATTAAACAAATTTAGTTTCTTTATTTCATGTTATACTATGTGTTCCAGCCAGAGGAGCACTGCTGGACTTTGATTTAATTTTCAGTGATTTAAATTTTTCAATACGTTTAATAATTTAGTTTTAAAAACCACTTTATTTGAAGATTTTCAATGAAAAAGGTGTTAAAAATTTCAAGTAGCTAAAAATTATTTAATAAAAAATTTCTTATTTAATTACAGCAATATTATATCCTTTTCTTTTAAGCGATACCATATTTTTTAAAAATTTTTATCTCTTTAAAAATATTTATAAAATCATCTCTCTATTATAAAACGATAAATACCCAACATTTAATTACTTCAAAATACCACAATTTTTTATATCATAGATTCATTGAATTTTTCACAATAAAAAATTCCTTGGTACATTTTTTTTTTCAATTCATCAAACAACACTTTAATTTATATTTTTAATTTTTTTTCTCTTTTGAGATATATGCATTCATTGTTATGTTTTCTTTATTGAGAAAATCATTAATTAAGGACAAAATATTTAATTTAATAAATTTTCAACATATATATGTATGTGTATATATATATATATATATGTGATTCATTATTTGCCCTCTTTGAAATTTCAAATTTGCTTGCTCTTTGTTTGGAAAATAAATCAATATTGGTGGAGTAAGGTTGAGAGAAAAATGGGCTATGGACCTATGGGCCTTATCTTTGTCAAGATTGAACAGTAAATTTTATCTTTTGGGGCTGCAACTAGCTCGTTGTCTATGAAAGTGATTAAGTCTCACCCCAAAGCCCTAAAATGGAAGAATCCATTCTTCATTCTAGGGTTTCAGCCTGATTCAAGACAAAGTTCACAGGCCCAGTCCTACCAAAAGAAAAAGGTTGAGAAGCCGGTGAGAGAAACCCTAATGTAACTCAAAGAATTGGCACTATTTGTTAATAGGGAAGTGCCCACTTAACCAGCAGTTATTGAACAACCAACGATATGCCTAACTCAACGAAGGATAGACAAACATTAATCATTTAGTTTTGCTTATTCATGTCGATATATTTAAGAGATAAAATTATGAGGATTAAATTTTAAAATAGTGTTTGGTTTTAAAAAATAAAATTATTTTTAAATAAAAATAAAAAGTATGAGTGAAAATGTATTTGATAATTAAAAATAAAAATAAATTTTTAAAAAATAAAAATAAAAATGAGTTGAAATTTGAAAACAAAAAATATATATTTTTTCAATTGAAAAAATAAATGATTTACATTACTTTTTTTTTATGTTTTGCAAGTTATTATATTTGAATACTTTTTAATGGTATCAATTAATAAATATATATTATATTCATAATTAGATGTCATTAATAGTAATTCATTGAATATTTTATTTATTTTCTTTTTTATTTTAGAAAATAATTTTTATTTTCGTTTATCAAATACATTTTTTAAAAAACAAAAATTGAAAAATAAAAACTATATTTTAGAAATGAAAATAAAATATATTTTTCCAATCAACCAAAGCCTAAATTTTTGTATTTACAATTTTATTTTATCTTTAGATTGCTTGTTGCTTTTTATTAAAAAAAAAATTAATAAAAACAATTCTACTTTTCTTATAATTTTTTTTTTGAAAAAAAAAATAATTTAAGCTTCTCCAATAATTGACTATAAATTATTCAAGACCAAATGCAGAAGGCTAAATCAAATTTAGCCTTGCCAAAACATTTAAAAGTTGTTTGTGCTTAAATTTAATAGTGTTTCAGGAGCCACCCATACTTTTGACTTAAGAAAGAGGTTGGAAAGTGGATGTTGCTGGACTTAAGCAAAGCAACATTTACTTTAATGGTCCGTACTTCCCTCTTTGTCAAAGTACCAATGGAATTGGTCATTCTTCAATTTTTGCTGCTCAATTTCCGCAGCAGAGTTAAAAGAACAATAATTACTGAATTGAAAGAAAAATATGGAGTCAAAGACGGGAAAAAAAATATATGAGTTCATATATACAAAACCAAAACTATGGTGTATAACTCAGAGATCACACAACAAAATGAAAAACAATAAGCTGTAATAAAAAATGGGGGTCATCCAAAACACCCTAAGCTCATGGTGTAATAGTCCGACCAAAACAAACAATGTCGATGGTATTAGTAGCACCTAAGAACAAACACCAAAAGGGGAAAAAAAGGCCTAGAGTTTTATTCTAACCAAAAAAAGTTATTACACGCCCTGTCCCGTGGCACCATATCCATTCAATCCAGTGGCTCCATTCATGGTGTGAGAATGCTTATCAGAAGATCCTGTCTTCCTCCTCCTGAGAACTATGTACCAAGTGAATGCTTCCAATAAAGTTGCGACAATTCCTAAAAATATGAGAATGCCAATGTAAATTCTTTCCCATTTGTCATCAGGTTGAAGGATGTCGAAGCCCTCGAAAATGTTGATGATGCTGAGGATGATGACAGTGTAACCAATGGAATGGTGGTAGATGTTCCAATAGAATCTGTATTTGTGATCCTTCTTTGGCCTCAGAAGCAAAGCAAAGACCTGTCAATATTTCAATCCAATATCTGTAAGAAACCGTTGCTAAAGAAGTAATAATTCGAAGTGGAGTTAGAGTAGTCTTTAAGGGAACTATTAGAAACTTCATGAAAGTATGTCATAGCGGCAAACTGAAGGAAAGGACTAAGACCCCTGTCAAATACTTATAGACCTGGCAATTCATGTATCTATGCAACTTCTTGTCAGCAAACTTGTTAAGGTCATTTTCTAACAGATCAGAATTGACAGAGCCTAGAAGTTGTGCATCAGCTCAAGTTGAACATGATAAAATATGATATTTCAATCTGAGATAAATGAAAGGAAAATGATATGCAGTTCCATATTTCCTTTACCCACCGTTGAGTTTAATGTTTAATTTACCCACCGTTGAGTTTAATGTTTAATTAACTAAGTTAAAAAATGTTAAGGGAGAAGAAATTACCTGAAGAGTTCCGAGGCAGAAGAGGACAATGCCAATGTTCCTGTGGGTATTCTGTGTGACTCCAGGAGAATCGCTGCCGAGCTTAATACCAGTTGCCCATCCTGCAACACCAACAATATAGGCCGAAGATTGGCAAGCAACATGGAGATAAAACCATGCCGGGTCTGCTGATTTGAACACCTTCATGTACCTAGCCGTTATGGCTCCCAACGGCATCAAGATTCCCCAGCTGACGGCGTTCAATACCCCATGAACCTGGAAATTTCAAACAATGCACCATTGAAAAATTGAATTGTTGAATCAAATTTGTATAGTAATTCTAGTTCTATCTATGGTCAAAATTGAGACAAATTGACAAGTTGGAAATTCAAAATTCAAATACAGAGCTCAAATCCAACAATAAATCTCTAAGAAAGACCTAAACTTGAGTCTTGTTGAAAATGTTAAACTCGAAAATTACACAATATAATCCATTTATAGGCGCCTTCATTGCTCCAAGAAATAACAAAACAACAAAGAAACAAACAAGGAAACAGACCCAAAGACATGAATTGGTAGTTGAAAGAGTAAATGCATCCAACAAACTTTGTGATTATTAATGATAATTAAAATCAAATTATAAAATTAATCCAAGATTTTTTTTTTCTGCCAGAAATTAATCCGAGATTCGAGTTACTTACATTTCTTCTTCTAGTTCTTGAACCAGATGAACTCCCTCCAGTTTGTCCTGTGAGGAAATTGACACTTCCAGTGGACTGAAGGTTGGCTCCACCAATAGGATGAGTACCTAGTCGGTCGTTAGTCACAGGACCTTCCTGCCACACCTGGCTGGTAGATAACAAATTTCCGGAAATTCTCAGGACAGCAAATATCGTCATTTCATTGTTCTCAAAGGTTGCTGAAAGGCTTGGAACATCAAAGCTCAAAACACTCTGTTGCATGGAAGGGCCCATGGAATCAATTGATGTTGTGAATGCGTGAGCGACGCCACTGGAGTTGACAAAGGCAACCAAAGCCTGGGAACCCTGCATTCTTGGTCCTGCAGGATTGATAGCCCAAGCTGACCATCTTGATGAGGTGGTGCCGGTGTGTCTAAATGCAATCTCAACGGTCTCAGCTGTTTGATTATATGTCCAATGGAGGAAACAGTTCAAGGCTGGAAGATCGCTGCAGTTGGTATACCGCTTGTTGTTGGAAAAAGTTTGGGTAAGACAGGTTTGGGCAGACGATGAAGCCAAGAAAGAAACCACCAGGCATGAAAACAGGACAATTTTCCAGGCTTTCTCCATTTTGAAACTGAATTGTGTACCTTGGAGAGAAAATCAAGTTTCCAGGATCGATGTCCCACAAAAATTGTTTGCCAAGGCAATTTGTTGTCTTAAGCCCTTTGTTGTCTTGAGCTCTTTATATAGAATTCTGCTTCTAATAAAGTGGGGAGGGAATGATCAGGAAAGTGAGGAAGTGAGTCTTTAAAAGACAGTCTAAAGAGCTTGTATTTCTTGACTAATTCTGCATACAATATATAAACATTTTTCATTTAATTTGATGAAACTACAATTATACTTAGTAGTCTTGATTTTGGTTTATAAAGTATGCTCTTTTTTTTTTTTTTGGTAGGAGAGGAGAAAGTGAATTTTTTTTCTTTTTAATTAGTGAGGAAACAGGGGAGAAAGTCCTGGGCTATTGGTAATTGGCAGTATTTGTTTTCTCCTTAAAGCATCAGTTACGCCCAACTACGCGGTTTGAGTCAATGTTCACATTTGATCGGCACCAGGTTTCCTAGAATTATATTCGAAAATAGAAAAAGAGAACGCGGCTGTGAACAACAAAGTCTACTTTTTCAACACATACCGACTCAAGGAAATTTAAATAAAATTATGAATGTGTAAATTTAACTTAAGTATTAGCATATCTAGTCACTCAAACAAAATAATTTGCAATACAGTGGGGTTTAAATTTTCATTTTTACAATAAACGTGATATATTTCTAACACATCTAAAATTCACTGTTTGTTAAAATCATAACAAATTTTTAAATAAAAATAAAAATTATATATTATATTTATTTAATGTCATTTAAAAAAATAATTATAAAAATTAACTGAAATTATGATAATTTTTAATAATTAATAATCATACAATCTAATGACATTCATGGAGTGAATCTTACACAAACTCTTGAAATTTTTCGGGTTTGAATAACGGGAGAAAGAAATTGAATACGTACAAAATGAGATACGACTACCTTTCAATATATAACTTTTAATATTTATCCATAAAAAAATTATATAAAATGATGGCTCCAAGTGTTTTAAGTATAATTTATCGTGGAGGACATAAGCAAACCACGACTTCTGTTAACAATTTGATAATTAAAAATCTAATATATCTAAGATTACAGTAACCACTGAGTCAACCATACATGTGAAAAGAGTTACGAAGGTCTCATGTATTTTCTTTTCAAATATTGATTTTTTGAATTTTATAATGATGCTTAGTTGGAAAAAAAAAAAAAAACTGATATCAATCGTCTTTTATCAAGTCTGGCAAGTTGATTTTCAAATGTAATATTAGTGATTATGACAGTATAATTAAAATAATATCTAAAATCATAATACGATTATGATATTTAAAATTATTATATACTTACAATATCATATGTAATTTTTTTTAATTAAAAAATTATTAAAAAATAATCTGATCACTCTAAATTAAATATACAAGCACTTACTTTAATTATCAATTTACATTATCTTAGTCACTTGCTTTTTGTTATATTTTTTACATCAGTTTAGTGTATGAGATTTATTAACCTTTCATAAATGAGTTAATTTAGAATTAATAAAATTTGAGAGGTTTAAATACTATACGATTATTGATTATGATTGTAATTTGTATTTATAATTTCATTAAAAAAATACTATACAATTACTTGTTGAAATAAAAACTCTTTGTGACTTTACCTGCATGTACTGTTTAATTTCAACAACGTCAATCCGATCATTGCTCGGTTGATTTGGAGTACATTTCATAATTTTAAACAGTACTATATAAAAATAAAAAAATTTAAAAAATAATATAATTTAAAATTTTAATAAAATTAATTAAAATAAATATATTTTATGTGTAACGTGTTTATATAAATAGAAATTTATATTTTTTATTTTATATTATTTAATATAAAAAAATATAATATGAATTATCTTATTTAATAAAAATATAAAAAATAAAATAAATAAGCATGTTGGACATGGGGCGGTGGTCCATGTCGCCGGCTAAATTTGGCATTATTTATTTACACATATTTTTTTGTTTATATACAAGTAGAGGTATTATTACGCTAAAGACTCAAAGATGGAAATGATGTGAAGTTTGAAAGGAACGTAGAAATTAGATTGTATAGTTTGACCAAAATGAAAGTACGACGTAAGTGGGGTCCAGAACCACTGATGCCGTGTCGGTTTGGCGTTCTTAACCTTGCCTCGGCGTCTCGTTTCTTACCTCGTCTGACGTCGTTTCCGGGCAACTTGTATTACTTATTTTGGAATTTAGATTCTCAGACAGCTTGTATTATTTATTTTTTGAATTAATATTATAAATAATTTTAAATTATAGTAAAATATTTAATATAATATTTAAATTTTAAATTTTTTAATATGATATTTGAATTATAAATTTTTAATTAATATGATATTTATTTTAATATTATTAACTTTAAATAATAACAAATAACAGATAAATTATTTTAAATATTATATTAATTAATAAATTTATTATTTACATATCATATTAAATATTTTTAAAATTAAATACAAATTTAAATTTTTTATTATTATTCAAAAATGATTCATAACATTAATTTTTTCATTTTTATAATATTTTCAAGAATTCAATTTAATTAATAAAACTGTGAATCTATCATTTTATCAATAAATTATACAATTATTGACTGCTTGTAATATCTATTGCTATGTGGTACCAATAATCTTGAATCCCTTTCAATTTTTTCTTTTTCTGTTAGTATTTGATACTATTAGGTATTTGATTTTATTAAAGATTGGTCACTAATTATTAAAATTAAAAATTTAACATTTTAACAGTAAACCATATGATAATTGGCTTCTTTTTCTCTTTTCAACATGGGCAATATTATTCTTGCTTTTGAGAGAATAGAAAAACACAATTCTACTACTTCATTGACTTAAACAAAAAAGAGCAAGTATCTTTAAAATATTTATTATATTTTTATTATTAAAATAATATATTTATTCAATATATTGACAATTGTTGCTCATTTTAAGACATTTCTTTGTAAGTCATCCCCAAGAAAAAAAAAAAGAATTGTACATTTATTTCCTTCAATCAATTTTTTTTTCTAAGAAAATTTTAGAGTAGATAGGTTATTAAGTTCTTCAAGTTCGGATAAAATGTATCGTATCTAATAATTTAAGATAAGTGATTGCAAATCGTATATTTAAAATGATCTCAATAAATGATTACTGACAAAATTCGAATTCAAAATTTTTTTTATGAAGAAGAACGAGCTTTCAATCAATTGTCATCCAATTAGTTAGCATATTTAGGAAAATATAGAAAAAAAAAAAAACTTTCATTTATCCTAGCGAAAAAGAGGAATTCTTTTTTTTTTTTTTATAACTTGAAAGTTTCTTGGAGAGCAATGAGAAAATAAGAATACCACGAATTAAAAAAAAGACTATTATTTGATTTTGTAATGAGATTCAAATGCTACTCATTATTAAATAAAAAAATTTAAAAATTAGTCAAATATTCGAATGTAAATTAAAAACATAATTTAAATATTATTAAAAATGTTGGAATTTATCGATTAAGCATGCGCGGACTCAAGTCTTTTTGCTTTCTACGTACAAAAACAACGTAAACGTACGTAACAATGGCACGACTATACAAAGTCTCGTGTCAATGCTTTGAATGGTATTTGGTATATATGAAAGAGACCCAGAAAAACCTTGACTCGACCATGTCTAATTTACATGTAAAACTAGAATTATTGGATTCGATATTATGCTTGTTTTGTAGGTCATGTTAATTAATTAGATACGACTGTGACTTGGCATATAAAAAATATAAAAAACCATTATCTTAATTTATTCAAATATATATAAAGATTAATAAATTTCCATATATTCTCAATTCGACCCACTAATTAATGATTAGAATTTAATCATGTGCCAAAATCAAAATTAACTATCATTTGATTGACAGCCAAATAAATTTAGAGCTGAAGTATGTTCACGAATGTTAAACTTGCTGTTGCAAACTAATTACCTGCAACAAGGAAAAACCTAGAACATTCACCTAACTGTATAAACAAAGAATATATAAATCTACAGAATTGACTACTACACCAATTAATATTGATTAACGTTTCTTTCACCAGCCTTAAGCTTTTGACATAAAGCTCTGAGTAAGTTAATGGGTCATTTTTTCTTGCCGGATCCTCGCTTAGGCAAAGCATGAGCAGGCCTTGCGTAATCTGCAACCTTTTATTATGGCTATCAAAGTTTATCAAACGCCAAGACCTGATGTTCAGAATGTGGAATATCAGTGTCATTAGTCCTAGCCAATGATCTTTAGGTCCCTGCTGCAGTAAATTCAGCAGTCTGTTATAAGTTATAACTCGGTTTCACTTTTTTTTTCCTAACAAAAAGGCTGCACTATGAAATATAAGAAAAAATATAAATATTGAGATTTAAATTTTAAATCTTGTTAAATATTAATTTTAAAAAGTAATTACATGAGTTAATTAAATAAACTGCCGCAACTCCTGATTGTTTGAAGAAACGTTTTGTTGAAAATGGGTGTAAGGACCGTGTCCCACAAATCGGGCAAATGAAAATTGCTGCATGGGACTTGAAATAGTTTAATTTGCAGTCTTTGATAATTGATTTTGTAGTTTCCGGACTTGGCCAAGTATTGATTTACTAGCTAGTTAGGCAGCGGTCAATAACGCTCCCTACATTACGCTGAAATCTTAATGTTTTCCCATTTAATCTCTGAAATTAGGTAAGCTAGCTGAAGTAAAAACTTTAGAAATTTGAAACATTGTAAGGAATGGTAACCTCCAAAAGTGGAGAAAGTTGGGTAAAATGAAGCAATGCGTTTTGTTTTTTTATTATTTTTAATAACTTCTGTCGTTCTAAATCAATAGGTTTGGCTTGAACTTTCAAAGCAGCCGGTTGAGTTTTTTACAACTTACCATCTTATATAGTTTCTATAAAGCAATTGCCATTGAATTGATTGAAGTTGCTGAACTTTTCAAACACAATTTCGTTTAATGTCAAATAAGTACTTTTTTTTTTTTTTATTTTAGTCTCACATCAACTAAAGATTTTGTTCACATGTGTCCATGTAATTGAATAGTTATTTTTTCTTGCTTTTTTTAAATATGCAAATTATTTTTTTTAAAGAGATTACAGATATGCAAGTAAAAATTATCATCTGCCACATACACTATATATATACATTAAAAAATTAACAAATAAATTAATATAAAATTAAACGAAATTAACAAA